CCAATACTACCACGGCACCATTACAGCCACTCAAACCACACTCAACACATTAGACAAATTCAGCCTGAATATAAATCGGGAAAAGTCCCACCTGAGGCCTTCCCAACTTGTCAGTTACATTGGGGCACAACTCGACGCCCTGCAAGCAAAAGTGTTCCTGCCCCTCCAAAGAATCCTAAAGATCCAAAAGGTGGTACAACGGTTCCAGCCTCACAAGCTTGTAACTGCCCACGATTTACAGCAGTACCTTCTTGGTCTCATGTCATCCACGACGTCAGTGGTCCTCCATGCCAGACTAAAGTTGAGAACGCTCCAATCCTGGTTCCTATCTGAATTCGACCCCTCGACAGACAGCCCATTGAAGAAGCTGAGGGTTCTGCCATTCCTGGCAGACCAACTAGTCTGGTGGACATTTGTCCACAAACTATCAGTGGGCAGACCATTCAAGCCACTTTGCCTCTCGATACCGATAACAACAGATGCCAGCCTCTCGAGATGGGAGGGCTCATTGTCAAGAACTCAGGATACATGGATTATGGTCAAAGAGAGAAAAAACACTCCACATAAATCAACTGGAGATGCTGGCCATCATGAAAGCCTTTCAAGCCTTCCTCCCACGTATCGAAGGAAGAGCCGTTCAGCTCGTAACAGACAGCAGAACAGCTATGCATTATGTAAACAGGCAGGGAGGAATTCGCTCCCTACCCCTTCTTCATCTAACCATAAAGTTACATTTTCTTCATAAAGTTACATTTTCCTAACCATAAATATTTTCCTTCAAGCAATCCACATCTCATTGGATGACAACTATCTTGCAGATCGCCTCAGTAGACTACCCACCCGCATGCACGAATGATCCCTAAGCAAGACAGTTTTTCAAGACATATGCCTCCGATGGGGACAACCAGCTATAGACCTCTCCATCCCGTCACAATACCAAGTGCCTCAGATACTGCTTGACGGCCAGCATAGACACAGCATCCCTAGGGGACGCGCTCATGATACCTTGGTCCAGAGAACTCACCTTTTTCCTCCGATACCCATGCTTTTAAGAACAGTCATCAGAATCATCCAGTACCGCATGGACGTGATACTTATCGCCGCATGGTGGCTGCGTCAACCATCGTTTGCCCACCTGAAGGAGAAAATGAGGGAAATGTTTCACTTACCTTCCATACCAACTCCTCTTCCAGAACGACGGGTCCATTCTCCATCCAGACATCCGATCCCTCCTCTTGACGGTGTGGAGGATATCCCTGAGTTCCGGGCAATCTTAGATCACGCTTGGAAACTGTCCACTTTGCAATCCTTCATCAAATTCACTCAATCCAAGGGACTCTCACTGGTCCCGACTTCCCTTAAAACGAGACTTACCTTTATCCTACACCTATTTCGTCTGGGACTTGCACACTCTACGATCAAAGTGTACGTATCAGCTATGATAGCCCACCAACCGACCAACTCCTGATCTATCAAACTTTTGTCTCATCCCACTGTCAGAGGATTCCTCAAAGCCCTACAAAATATCAGGCCCCAACACAGCAGATTGTACCACAGTGGTCTCTTCAACTGGTCTTGGAAGCACTTACCAAACTGCCATTCGAACCCATGGCCACCTGTAACGAGAAACTACTTTATATCAAAACCACCTTTCTTGTCACAATCACCTCTGCAAGAAGAGCTAGCAAATCGGCCGCTCTAAGAGTGGACCCTCCATATTTACAAATGCATCCAGATAAAGTTACCTTATACCTGGATGTCTCCTTCCTACCTAAGGTGATATCAGACTTTCATTTAAACCAGTTTATTACACTCCCAACGTTATTCCCATCTCCATCCACACCAATTGAACGAAAACGTCATACGTTGGACGTAAGAAGAGTCCTCACTTTCTGCCTTGATAGGACAAGGCACTTCAGAAACTTTCCTTGCCTATTCTTATGCTATTCTTATGCTATCATGGACCCAACAAGGCTCATGCCTCCTCAGACGTTGAGATGGATAGTTCAAATGATTCAGTTGGCATACCAACTTGCAGGCAAGCCAATACCGGACCACTTGAAGGCACACTCTATTAGAGCAGTCTCAACATCAACCGTTCTTCATCGGGGCATACAGATGCAGAACATCTGTAGAGCGGCCACTTGGTCTAACCCTCTGACATTCGCGAAGCACTACCGCCTCAACGTCAGAGTCAAGACTGATGCTGCATTTGAAAGGGCAATACTGTCATCTTTGCTACCGTGACATCCCTCCATCCGGTGAGTAAGCTTGCTATTCACCCATTTGTGTGCATTCACAGAGGCCACTACAAAGAAAGGTAGATTACCTACCTGTAACCATGGTTCTGTGAATTCACACATCCCTCCCTTCCTCCCCTCTGTCCATCACGTTGCCTGTGTCGGTACCTACTCTTGGTAACGGCAGACTTAGGGAACTGAAAGGAAAGTTGAGGAGGTGGAGCTTGCGCTCTGGGAGGGAACTAAATCGTTTCTTTTTCCTAAGCTCTAGAATCTTCCGAACGTCCTGCGCAGGTGCAGAATAAACCCATTTGTGTGAATTCACAGAGGTCCACTAGAAGAACCATGGTTACAGGTAGGTAACCTAACTTTTCTTATCTCTCTACTAGTTTTCAAAATTAAAAATAGCCCCATGGAACTCGCCTCTAGAGTAGGTTTATGGTACATTACTGTGACCCATATTCCCCAGGGATAGGGGCGTAACAGTTCTGAACCAATTTGTCTGACTAATGTTTGCTGCCTTGAGTCCCTTTTAGGAAAAGGCTGGGTAAAAAATATTTTAATACATAATAAATAAATGTTTTCCCAATTGCAGTCTCAATACTGCCCCTCCCTCATTTGCTATAGTTAAGAATAACATGGACTCTTGACAGCACCACATGAATTTTTAAACTTTTCACTAACTTTAAAAAATAATTTTAGCACATAATGCCTTACTGAGATTAGGAATTCTGTCAAGTGTTATTTGGGGGTGTAAATGCACAGGTCAGTCACAGGTACATAAATTCCAATGTCTCTGTTTCTTTGCTTCTTTGCTTTCTTGTTCTTGGAGGGAGAGGACAGTTGTCACTATTGTCTGGAGAAGAGTAAAAAAGGACTTAAGAATGAGCTAAACAGTCTTTTTTCCAGGCATAGTATGTATCACTTAAGTCTTCACCTTCTGTACTTGGTGATATTTAAACCTCTCTCCTTGGTTGTGTGACAAAAAGGAGTTTGAGTTCACAAATATTCTAAGAGCCACAAGCTGTTCTGTGCTTTAAAAAAATAATTTGAAGGCTCAGACCATGCAGTGCACCATAAGAATAAGCCCCGTTTCTCCATCCTGGGTTTACATTTTTCTCCTCTCTGAAATATTTAAGGTTAATATTCTGTGTTGAATTCTTTGTCTAAATTGTGTAGTTAGATGGAAAGACTTATGAAGAACTCAAGCAAATGTGATGTAGTAATACCAGGGCTGACAATAGCTTTACTTCCTGAAGCATGTAAAAAGCTATAATTACTCCCATTACTCCCATAGCAAGCAGAATTATTCCTCACAACAAATTATATGGCTAAAATCATGACTTAGATTTGTTTTTCATTTCAGCTTTATGAACCATAGCACACAGGTCTCAAGGGAGGAAAATACTGGGTTTCTTCAAGAGAAAATAATTAAAATTTCTCTTGGCAGTAATATGGCTCATTAATGCATTGGCTTCCTGTTTTCATCTCCTTGTCCCTTCCCTTCCCTTCCTTACGTCTGTGTTCCCTTATTAAATCACTGTAGGTGTAATTAAATTGAAAATAATTTGAAAAGAGTTGTTGTAGCTTCCCCATATTATTTTAGATATAGTTATAGAATAGATATACAGTACTGTAAAGATATTTGTTCAAAATGTGGTTGGGTATTTGTTTGGGTCTTAAATAAAATCAGTTTCCAAATTACATTATTATATAGCTTCAGATGTATTAGTTTCAAAAGGAATTTTGAAATAAATTAAACCTAATAGAACATTATCAGATTACAGAGGTGCCTTGCTTAGCAATTGCCTCATTTAACGATGTATTCGCTTAGCGATGAGGTTTTTGGAGCGATTCTGTGCTCCATTTAGCGATGTTTCCTATGGGGAAATTTCGCATAGCGTTGTTCGGGACCTTGCCTCACTTAGCGATGACAGTTTAGGTCCCCCTGTTTCGCTTAGCGATGTCCGTTTTCACTATTTTAAGTGTGTCTTAAAATGTTCAAAAACTGTTTTAAATGCTTGGAATCATTAGTGCACCTTGTAAAACCTTTGCAAACTTAATTTGGCTTTGTTCTGACTCTTAGTTAATTTTGGGTGAATTCCCCCCCCCATTGGAATGCATTGAACTGTAGGTTTGACAGCTGTATCAATGGTATCAATGTATTTCATGTGCAAGCATAACTAAATTGTAGAATAATTTTTCGTCTGTTGGCTAAATCTTGTGGATTACTCACATCTTTTCCTCCATATTATAAATTCTAGCTATCTCCAATTTTAGAAAATGAAACAGCAATAATGTATGGGGTAAGCAAGTTAACAGTAGATTTTAATAAGATATTAAACTTCTGGATAAAGCTCAAAGAAAAACATACCTTATAGAATTTGGAGTTCCATCAACAAGTAATCTCAAAAGCAGAGGAAGTTTTTAAAACATACAAGGCACCATACATATCAATTTCAAGAAATTAAGAGAATATGGTAGCAAGATCAGTTCATCCTCCTCTCCATATTAATTTGAGCAACTGGAGTAGTTCAAAAATCTTTTGTTATTGAAGGCTAAAAAAAAAAAATGCTAACTTGCTTCCTGAAATCCAAAAATCAATGATTTTACATGTCATCTCACTCGCAAATTGGTAGGGATTGACTCTTCATTTTTAGTCTTGACCCTTCAATCCATCTAAAATACCTTTGCTGAGAAATAAGAAGTGTAGTACAGCAACAGTTATGATGAAATTGTGGGTTTTTTTTATCTTTATAGAATCTAAACTTCACAGGATTCCGTAAGATCCTAAAGAAGCATGACAAGATTCTTGAGACACCCCGTGGTGCAGATTGGAGAGTGGCTCATGTAGAAGTAGCACCATTCTATACTTGCAAGAAAATCAACCAGCTCATCTCTGAAACAGAGGTATGATGTATTGACTTGTATATATTGTTGATTCTTAACCAAGCCAAAATATACTGGCCTATAGCTGATGAAATGCTGCTAAATTTATTTTTATTGCTTTATTTATTTAAGTTATATGCCGCCCACACTACCCAAAGGTCTTTGAGTGGCTTACAACTAAATAACATCAGGCATAAAGCTAATTAGGTACTTGAAAACTCCACTGAATTGTTCCCACTTTTTCCATATATCAGTGCCTTAATTTCACCTTCTTCTTAATGCTATTCCTATGGTAGCTGAAAGCAATTCAGCTCTTGCCTGTCTTTCCTTTGCTCGGCATTTATAATGCACTGGTCCTTAATTCAGTCTTTTGTTTGTTTGTTCTTTAGACTGTGGTAACTAATGAATTGGAAGATGGAGACCGACAGAAAGCCATGAAACGGTTACGTGTCCCACCACTGGGAGCAGCACAGGTACTAGAAAGATTAGAAGCATTTAAATGCATGTTATCCACTAGATGTGACTGACAAAAATTAACACTAGGAGTTGAAGGAGCTGACATGAGAAAATTGTGACGCGCCCCTCACGTGTCTTCAGGTCATTTCACTAGCCTGAGGCCCACAATCCATTCTCTCCTTTCTGCTGCCACCAGTTGAACTCTGTCAACACCCTTTAATTAGAAAGATTGAGGTCCCAGCTGAGTATAAAGTTGAACAACACAGGTTTATTGATTACAGTTTGCTTAAACAGGTTCTTCACAGACTTTAATGTTTTCATTAGATTAGTAATAACTTGTTTCACTCTTAACTCCTTTAACTCTTTATAAGTTCCACACTCTTAACTCCTAACTCTGTCACACTCTCTAACTTTTACTTCAGACTCTCCTCTCTGACTCTACCTGACTGAACTTCCCAGACTTTGACTCACTCCTCCCTTCTAGTTTCTCTAGCTCTGCCTCCCAACAGCTCCCATTGGTGTATGCAAACAACCTCCTACATGAGCCAAAGCAGAGTGATCGCCACACTCATTTTCTTAGGATGATACTTTTTAGTCTATAGCAAAAAACATAGCATTTTCTAAATGAAAATGGTAGGAGTCCTACAATAGCTCTGTTACATAACATGAGATTTGGGGTTAAGGCTAAGTAATACAGATGAGGGTCAATAATGCATTTGCTCTTCTCCATGGCAGGGACTCATTTGCATATGTCTTGGCTGTTGTAGATATACAAATAGAATTGATTATGTCACAGAAATGGGGATGCAACAGCTTAATGATGACCTTGCAGAGCTTGCCTAATTGAAGAAATTGGGTCTGTTAAGAGCATTAAAAATATAGATAGCACTTATATAGAATTTTTCCTGAGATCCATGTGCTCAGGAAAATTCTGCTCATGAAGTGAAATTTTCTCTAGTGTGACTGAAAAATTGAATTTTCTCTCTAAGTAGATGGTTTTTCCAGACTATTTTCTGTTCTGTTTGCAGCCTGCACCTGCATGGACTACTTTCAGAGTTGGATTGTTCTGTGGAATATTCGTTGTGCTGAATGTTACCCTCATACTTTCAGGTTAGTTTCTAACTATAATTATAACTATCCAACATTTGCAACCTGAGTCTAGGGATGGATTTTTCTGACCTGTTCATATGTTGATTGATGGTTATTAACTAGCAGTATGAAACATTACCAGAAGGCCAACAAATCATGAGCATAAGCCAGGTGAATACTAGAGTCAGATAAAATATTTTATAATAGAACTATTGTCTTGAGATTAAAGTTATAGTGCTACTTTTGAAGGCTTTAAATTTTTTTAGACAAATCATAGTTTTAAGCTAATATAGTAGGAGTGTTAACATTTTATTATGTTGCTATGTTATGACTTACGATAACCATAATTGATTTTTCAAGGTATGTGAAATACTGTATATATGCGTGATATTTGTGTTTCCATTGTGAAGAATGTTAGTGTATGTTATAAAATGTTCAGAAATGTAAGCTGGGTTAGCTTCAGACTCCATCAAAACCTTCTGTCATTGAAAAATTGTCTTAGGATTCCTCTGAGTCATGTCTGGTTTCAATAAAGCTTGCTTCTCTGGGAGTAAAATTGTAAACAATGCCAAATAATTGAAGTTATCTGGACCTCCATAATTTCTGTTGCTTTCCTTCCTTAGAAATTGCTAACTTGGAGTACATTACTAGTTGATGTTAAATTGTCCCATTTTGCACATATTTTCTGGCAATTGGGTTTTTTCATTCAGTTAAATAAATGACATTTTAAAATGCCTAGAAATAAATCTCTAAATAATTCAGAGACTGCTGTTAATGTTGTACATAGTCACGTAATATACAATATGTAGTAGTCTGGGGCACTAACAATTTCATGAATTAATAATCAATATTTATCGTTTTGACAAGTTTAGTCTGTTTGTGCAGTTTAATTAATGGACCAACCTCCCCATCCAGTCTCCTAATGCCCCTTTGCTAATTATTCTTCCTTAATCAAAATTTTCTGTTTTTACTTTCCATGTAAAGGTAATGGGTACAGAAATTTAAATGCAGTTTTGGTAAATGAGTGAATGTAAGTGAAAACTACAATAACAATTTTTGTGTGCTGGCTTTCCATGTGCAGCTCTACTGAGTGCATCCTTATTGTCTTTGTTGTGGTGTATTTGCTAGTTAGGAAGTTGCTTCTGAGAAAATGCATCTGGCAGTTATGACCAGAAGTAGTATATGTAAGTTTGGTCTTCAGTAAAGCACTGACTCTTGGGCTAATCTGTCATTCAGGATTATTAGTCAGGGGCATATTACAAGCTGGCCCCCAGGAGGATAGTGCAGATAGCTCGCTGTGAAAAATTTGCACAGCACTTTGTAGGCAAAATCACTCAGATCTGCTCTGATGGACGCTGTAGCTAATACAGGTCCTGAGGATGTAATATGGTACCTGATTATCCTGTGTTAATGGGTAAGTATAAGATTTCGTGGCCTGGTGGTGTGGACAGAACCCTTGGAGGGGTGAAGGCCACCACTTGTCTGCTGGACCCTTGCCCTTCCTGGCTTATAAAATCTGCCAGAGAGGGACTGGCTGCAAAGTTAGTAGGGGTGGCAAATGTCTCCTTGCAGCAGGGTAGGTTTCCAGCATGCTTAAAGGAGCTAGTAGTAAGACCATTATTGATACGTACCATTGACTGTGGTACCCTTCTGGGTCATATTTCTGGGATGGGACTTGAAGGCAATGTCTTCCAGTGGCTCCAATCCTTCCTGCAGGGAGGAACCTAGAGAATGCTGCTGGGGAACTCTAGTTCAACACCTTGACTGGTGGCCTGTGCTGTCCCACAGTATTCTGTTTTGTCCTATTTAATGTTCATATGAAACTGCTGGAAGAGGTTGTCTGAAGTTTTGGGGTTTGATGCCACCAGTGCACAGATGACACCCAACTTTATCTCACCTTCCCATCTAAATCTGAGAAGGCTGTTTCAGTTCTATGTCTGGTGACAGTAATGGACTGGATGAAGGCGAATTAACTGAAACTTAATCCAGACAAAACTGAGGTGCTCCTGGTCAGTCAAAAGTCCAATCAAAGAATACTGTTTCAGCCTCTGCTGAATGGCATTACACTCCCTCTAAAACACAAGTGTGCAGCTTGAGGGTCCTTTTGGATTCATCTCTGAGCCTGGATGCCCAGATTTTGGCAATGGCAAGGAGTGCCTTTGTATAGTTAAAACTATTGTGCCAGCTATGCCTGTTTCTTGAGAGAGCTGATCTGGCCACAATGACACATGTCTTAGTTACATCTTGGCTGGATTACTATAACACACTCTACGTAGGGCTGCCTTTGGAAGGTGATTGGAAACTTCACTGGGTCCAAAATGCTCCAGCCAGATTGCTAACTCAGGCTGGTTAAAGGAAACTTAACTCCCCTGTAATAACACCTCCATTTGCTGCCAGTCTGTTTCTGGGCACAATTCAAAGTGCTGGCTTTAACCTACAAAGCCCTAAATGACTTGGCTCCAAGCTATCTCAAAGATCTCATCTTCCTCTGGGAGCCTGATCATCCATTAAGATAATCAGGGGAGGCCTTTCTCTCATTCCTGCCGCCAGCCATTTTTTATTGTTACCTCATTTATTTGTTAATTGGGATGTGAAGATAATTCCTGGTAAAACAAGAAAGATTGAGCCATTTCTAAGATTCCTGAAGAATAAGAATGAGTTGTCTTGAGATTCTGCTCTTTTTTCAACCTCTGTCACATTGGATTAATATTTTGTTAGGCAATTGAAATCTAAATCTTTATTGAAAGAGTTTACAAACAGCAATAAAATTACTTTATAATATGCAAACAACTCTGAGATTAAATTCCACATTTGCTTCATGGCTGGGACAACTGAAGAATATCTTCAGGAGAGGTTTACTTAGGGAAGTGTACTTCCTGGTTGCGTATGTGGAAAGGCCATAAAAGTTTGGCTTCTTCATCGTGGTCTTCTGTGAATGCACACAAAAGGGTTAACCCAGCGCCAGCGTTGGGCCTCTCGGAACATTCTCGAGCTTTAAGAGAAAAGTAACAAGTTTAAGGCTGCCTATACTGCGCATGCTCCGCCCGCTCCAGCCTCAATTCCATTTTTCTGCCTAGCGGTTTGGAACTTCTCGCTTCGAGCTCTATATATTTTCATTATTCTGACTGATTTTTACGGCTTTTGACTTTGGATCAAATGGAATTTGTGAACTGTTCCTTTCCCTGACACGGACTGTTCTTTGGCTTCACTCCGTTTTGCGTTTTTCCCTCGGTTTTGGCTGCTTCGGACTTTCCCGCCTTTCCCCCCGCCTTATTAACAGCTACTAGTAAGACTTTCCAGCTTTTATGTCCCCTTCAGGACCCTTTAGCCGTTGTGTGGTGTGGTCCAGGGCATGATCGCTGCCTTTTCTGTTTAGGCAAGTCGCATATTGCTAAATCTTGCAGACATTGTAAAGCCTTCACTAAAGCTGCACTTAAAGCCAGGCAACAACGTCTTAAGTACCACCTGTGGGAATCTACTTTGGCTTCTACCAAACCTTCTGACCTGGAAATGGCCTCACCTTTGGCCACCCCTCAGTCTGAATCTGGAGCTTCCATGCAATTGGTTGTTTCTAAAGTCACGAAACCTCCTAAAAAAGCGACCTCTTCGAAAAAATCCGCTTCGACATCTAAATCTTCAGCAGCGGCTGCAGCGAAACCTGGAAAACAAGCAAAGGGGAAGGCTTCGGTTAAGTCCAAGGAACTCCCTGTGCAACTTCCACCTATTTCTGAGTTTCTACCCTCGCCGATTTTGGAGGATTCGTCGAGAGACCATGAATCCTTGTCGGAGGCAGCCCCATCGCTCCCTCCTCGACAAGTTGAGCCTTCTCTACCAGCGGGAGTCTCATCTCCAGCACCGAGTCAGCTTGCTGGAGCCACTGCAGGCTTGACTTCTGCCCCGCATAGCCCAATGCCTCTTGGGCAGGGGTCTTCGGCTCCCTCGGTCTCATCATCGCGTTCGAGGTCGAAATCCCCTCGGAAAAGCGCCCGTCGAAAAGGGAACACCATTTTTCGACTCGGCGTCGAGCCAAGCACCAACGTCAGAATGGATCCTGAGACTCTGATGACTCTGAGAGACCAAGGGCTCATCATCACCGTCGACGTCGATGGGAAGATAGCTCCTCTGATTCTTCTTCCTCCACGTCGAGCGATCGACGTCAAAAGCACAAGAAGGCGAAATATGTCTACATTTCTTCTTCTTCTGAGTCTCCATGTCCCTGACACCGCCATCGACATTGACGGGTCGACACTGAGGGTTCAAAGGGCTCCTGTACCACCCCCTGCGGACCCTGTTCCATCCACATTGACAGCCGCTATCTCTTTTTTTTTTTTGTATTTTTTATTTTTTATAAGGGATAACAAAAAGGAAAAGGGAATTGGGATTGATGAGGAAGAGGGGAGACAATAACATACTTTCATCCATTCTGTACCTATTGCCATATCAAGATTTTAAATTATTCTATTTACTCTTTTCTGCCTTCTCCTTTCAATATGTACTGTTCACAAGCTGCCTGTTGATTCTGTCCACTTGTTAAATAGATCCCATCTTTCTGTTGCCTTTTGCAAGGGATAGTCCTTCATGACTTCTGATAAAATGTCCATTTCGGCTATTTCCCGTATCTTTTCAATAAGATCTTCTTGTTTCGGTACCGTTGATCTTTTCCAATTTTTAGCATATAAAATTCTAGCTGCCGTAAGACAGCCGCTATCTCTTCACAGCAAACTCAGTCTTCTAATCTCGACGTCGAGAGACTTCCTCACAAGAGGAAGCAGGACGTTTTTTCCTCGGACCCGGATGAAGCGCCTTCGGTAGCATCCTCTGATTTTGAGCAGGAGCTTCCGTCGCAACCTTGCCAGGGAGACCTGCCTGAGGGTGAGGTTGTCGGCTCAGATACTGATGATCCACATGCTTCATCTCCCTCAGAGGATTTTTCTTCGAACTCTCAGATGCTCTCAAGATTAGCAAGGGCTCTGAAATTGGAAGTAGACCAGCCTGCACCTCCTGGGGAGGACCTTATCTTT